AGCCTCGAACGGCTAAATACACGACAATAACAGAAGTAAATTAGATGATTTATGAGCTCAAAACTGCCGTATTTCATAAGATATTATTGTTATTAAGTAATTCTAGTGAGTTTGAAGTCAATATTTGTTTTAGTTATTTATCGATGCATTGTTGAAAAAAGGTGACTAGGTTGCTAGATTTTGAATAACTTGCTTTTTTGGCAGTCTTGATTTGGCTTCTTTCCACTTGTTTATTTCTGTTTGTTCTGTGCACCATCTTACGTTAGTGTTAGCACCTTTAGCATCGTAAACACAAGTATTGTTAGCATTTTAAACACAAGAAATAAGTAATCAAATACCACGTTTGCAAGAATCTCAAAACACAATGATCACGTTGTGAGCCAAATGTCTTTAAAATGCACCGAAAACAGTAACCCGGAAGTATAGGCGGTAAAGAGCTTGCAGCGTTCCTAGTGTAGAAAACACCGTCCTAGAGTAGAAAACATATCATAAATTGTGACTGCAACTTAACAACTGCAACTGCATCTACTTTCAGTTTAGTGTAACTGTAACTTTGATTAATTTACTTTCAGTTTGACATCGACAAGTCATCAACACGGATTTGAAAACATGGCTGATGCAGTAAATGAGACTTTGCAAAATGTTGCACAAAATGCAACTTCAAAAACTCCTCCATCGATACAAGGGATGTGGTTAGCTTATTCAAGCTTAGTTATTATGGCTTGTGTTCCAATTTTTTTTGGAGCTTTTCGATCTGTCATATATTTAAAGAAACAGAAAGTAAGTGTGATGTGTCATATTAAACAATCCATATGTTGATATTTTCTTGCAGATCCTTGTGTTTTGCATGTGATCATTATTAATTAATTACATATTTTTTTACATAATTAATTACAATTTAAATACATTCACAATATTATTGTTTTGTGACTTAAACACAATGTGCTTCATAGTAGTTAAAACTAGGTTATTTAAAACTGTAGTATTTAAATATATACTTTTCTGGTTTGAAGTGATACATTAAGCTTTAATATTAAATTTTTCACAGTACTAAGCTTGTATTTAATTTAGCAATATCTCTATGAATAGTAATTTAAGTTATCACTTTTTGTAGGTAAAATTACAGATACTAGAAGGTTTCTTCAAAGAATCTCGATTTAATAATTGTTTTACTTAAAAAATATTATCTAACTCATTCTATTAATTATAAGAAATCGCTGTCGGATTATGTAGGAATAAGTTTACTCTCATCATGTTCATCTGTCTAGATCAGGGGTCCCCAACCTTTTTGTTGGGCATAGGGTTGGGGACCCCTGGTCTAGATCAATCAAAGCTTCCTCATAGACTTTTGATCTGTAATGTTTATTAAATCTCATAGATAACTAGATAACCAAAAAATCTCAGATAACTGTCGAAATCTCATAGATTAACCATTAAACCTTAAGTTAGATGTTCACTCTGTAGCAGCATATTAAAATTTTGTTTGCCATATTTACAAATAATTTCATTATCATGGCTTATTATTTCAAAGATCATTACGTGTAGAAAAGTCATGGCTTTTCAAAAAGAATAGTAAACTTTTTTTTACCAGGATAAGGCTACAAAATAATATTTTATTGATCAAGTAAAGAGTAGATAGTTTGTTGTATGAATTAAAAAAAGGGCAATAAATTACAACATTGATAAAGAAGTATTTTTAAATTATATACACAAAAGGCATTTAGTATCTAAGTTTCTTAATACTAGATAAATGAATATGTCTTTGCTCCAAGCCTTGTGGATAGAGGGCAGCACAGCTCAATCAAGAGGCCTCTTCAATTTAAATATAGATCTTCAAATCTCTGACCTATAGTACTGGTCAGCGACAGCGATAATCTCAATTCCACCGATTTCACGAGTTGCATATCGCATGTACTCATTGGGTTTTAGCCATAAGTTTGATTTTAGCCATTTTTGGGTTAGTTTGAATTTTGGGCCTAATATTGTTTCTATTGGATCAGAAATCTTATTCAAACTAAAATTAAAGGAATAAATCTTTAACAAACAAAAATTTCAATTTTTAAAAATGCTTTTATAACATCAATTACATTCTCAATTTTTTTTTTTTAAAATTAAAATAATAAAGATGCATTGACTTAAGGCCAAACTCTAAAAGCTTTGTTATAATTTTGTATTTAAAAATTGTTAATGATTTAAGATTGCATTGATTACTTTATAAAAGCTTTCTGTTTTAATCATCGTATTGAAGTTGAAAAAAGTAAACTGCTTTAATTTATTCTGCGAGGGGGGGGGGTGCATTTAATTTCCATATGTTTAATAAAATCCGATGTGTTCTTATGTATACTAAATATTTTTTGTTCCTGTATAGGACTCTGGAGAGAAACCAGAAACGATGTCTAAAAAAGACGCAGCCATGTTTCCACTCATTGCTAGTTGTGCTCTTCTAGGATTATATATATTTTTTAAAGTAAGTTCTTATTTTATTATTTCAATAAACTTGTTCTTACATTATTTTGTATTTTATGATGAACTAAATAATCATTTGACTGCATAATTCCGTACAAGGAATATAAAATTTCTACTATTCTTCTACAAAATGACTCACTTACAATAAGTTTTTCAATTAAAAATAATTCTGTGTAATACATTTTAAGGATAAAACTTCAATTGATCAATGCAATTATATATTTTATGACAAATTATGTATTTAAATTGACACCTAAAGAAAAGTTTTTGTCAGGGTTTGTTGAATTAAATCATCTTGATTTAAATCAAATGATTTTTTTTAAAAAAATCATTGATTTAACTCAACTAATTTTTTTTATATATTTATTGATTTTAAAAGATAAAAAGCAGTGTTTTAAATTATTGATACTTTTATTATTTTCTTATCTTAGTTTTAAAATTTATTTTAAATAAATTGCTGTATTAATTAATTTAGTTAATGAAATTACTTTCTTTCTTGGCGTTAAATTCCAACACATTTGAAATTACATTTTTAAAAATCTTTTGATTCTTGAGATTGAAAGTACAGATTAAAGTAAACATTTAATGCTGTCTTAATAAAGACTTGCATAGCTGTAGAAAATAATTAATAAGCATGAATTTTTTTCGAAAAATAATACGAATAATGTTAATTAAAATTCTACCTTTTGAATGAAATTTGCTTGGAATTAAAATCTAAATTATATTTTATTTGGTGGAAAATGTATGTTTCTGAAGCTTGAGGTTATGTTAAAAAGAAATTACCCTAATATGCTAAAAAAAAAAGAAAAAAAAAAGCAGGCTGATGAATTCAGATATTTTTTTTTTTTTTTGATACAGTGTTATTCCTTCCTTTCAAAGTCTATTTGAAGCAGTAGGGTTATTAACTGGTTTTTTTTTTCTCATATGTTTACAGTATCTTTGACATAATCTGATTTTCAATAAAGAAATTTTGTGAAAAGAAATTCTAATGAGTACATATTTTTTCTTTTTTTTTTAGCTCAACTTATCTATTTTGATAAAGAATTAAAAATGAATATTTTAATATAAAAATCTATAGAAATATTTATTTATTTTTTAATGAATGACTGCATTTATAAACACAATCTGTTAAATTTATTTTGTCATTTTAAAAATCAAGGGAAAAAAAGCAAGAAATCACAATTTTAAATTAAAATTATGGTTTGCTAATTGAAACTTTGTTTTAATAGTTAAAGTACAGGGGTCTGTCCAAGCCAAATTTACTACCGTTTAGCGGTACCTTCACAAATTCAACTTTAGGAAAAACGGTAGGATAATTTCACAAAACTCTTTTTTCTTAAAATTTTATTTTTGTGTCTCGTAAGAAGCGATAAATCCATATTTTTACCATATTTGTGTTGATTTTTAAATATAATTTTTAATTTTCACAAATTATGTCTAAATTTTCGCAAAATAGGTACCTTTTAGAAAAACCTAGACAGACCATGAAGTATTCTTTAAATTCTCTATTTCATCTAGTCTTTACCTAAATTTCAATCTTGCATTTGTTTCAAAATGGTTACTATGCATTCAGAGCTATGTATTACGTATAATGAAAAATTATTTTAGTAAGTTAGAGCTTCTAAAATATTGTTATAAAATAGTTTTAATCTTAACTTATTTTTGATTAAACATTAATTTTTTTTTAAATCATGAATTAAAGTTTTTACTGTGTATTTGAATTAAAAAATAATCTGATTTAAATCCAAAAAATCCTATTTAAATAAAAAAAAATCAGATTTTTTAAAAATTTTTTAAAAAGAAAATCAAAAACGTCACGAACCCTGGTTTTAGTAGAGTTCTTCATATTCTTGTACAATGTTTAAATTTTTCTTAATTGTAAAATTAGGAGAATTCTTAGATGTTTTCAACTTATTATATTTCATATTTTATATTGATCATGAAATTTATACAATACTACTTTAAATGTCTGTTAACTTTAAATATTCCCTCTTGTAATAGTTTTTAGATTTACTTCTTCATTCTTTTTTTTTTTGCAGATTTTTTCCAAGGAGTACATTAATTTATTGGTCACTATGTATTTCTTCAGTTTGGGTGTCCTGGCTCTAACGCACATTTTAAGGTAAACCTCCTTAATTAGCTATCATATTTTAAAACCCAAGAATATTGTAATTAAGGTTTAAAAAATTTATTAATGCAAACCTATTTAGATATATTAATCGATAAATTTCATAAGATTTTCTTTATGTTGTAAAATGAGCTATAAATTTTTAATTTATTCTTTATTTTTGACTATGAGTTGTCGGTGATAAGAAAATGGTGTATAGCAGAATATATATATTTGTTTATTTAGATATATATTTAACAGTGTTCTGTTCAAGCGGTTTTAGAAGGGTGGCCTTCCTGCCTGCCCTTTGATCCCTAAACATGCGCCCTCTAGCTCTTTTCGTAAAAATAAGCCCTTAAAAACCAGAGTTTGTTGATTTAAATCATCTTGATTTAAATCAAATGATTTTTTTAAAATAAATCATTGATTTAAATCAAATGATTCTTTTCTTCATGTATATATTGATTTAAAAAGTTAAAAAACAGTGTTTTAAATTACTGATACTTTTATTATTTCTTTTCTTAGTTTTAAAATTTATTTTAAATAAATTGCTGCATTAGTTTTAAAATGTCTTATTGCTGCATTAATTAATTTTAGTTAACGAAATTACTTTCACTTTCTCGGTATGTGTTAAATTCCAACACATTTGAAATTACATTTTTAAAAATCTTTTGATTCTTGAGATTGAAAGTACAGATTAAAGTAAACATTTGAGTATTTTTTTTCTCATAATATGTTTACAGTATCTTTGACATTAACAGATTTTCTATAAAAAAATGTTGTGAAAAAAAAATATCAATGAGTGCATAGAATTTTTAAAATTTTTTTTAGCTTAACTTATTTATTTTGATATAGGAATAAAAATGAATATTTTAATATTAAAATATATAGATTAAATATTTATTTTTTGATGAATGACTACATTTATAAACACAATCTGTTACATTTATTTTGTCATTTTAAAATTGAAGAGAAAAAAAAAGAAATCACAATTTTTGAATTAAAATTATGGTTTGGTAATTGAAACATCGTTTTAATAGTTAAAGCATTCTTTAAATTTTCTATTTCATCTAGTCTTTAAATTTCAATCATGCATTTGTTTCAAAATGGTTGCTATGCATTCAAAGCTATGTATTATAATTAAAAATTGTTTTAGATAGTTAGAGCTTCTAAAATATTCTTATAATATAGTTTTAATATTAATTTAATTTTTATTAAACAAGTTTTTTTAGTCATAAATAAAAGTCCTTACAGTCTATTTGAATAAAAATCAAAGAAATCAGATTTTTTTGAATTTTTTTAAAAAAGTCAAAAAAATTGTAAACCCTGTTAAAAACACTGCCTTTTTATTCATATTCCATTTTTAAGAAAACTTCACTGTTAAAATAATAATTAGATTCACACAAAACTTATCTGTGTTTATAGGTTTAATTCTGATTACCATTACAAGTATTTACCTTGTTAGGATTATTCTCAGCTGATTAAATTGTTATAAGTTCCTCTTTTTTCAAGGATATTTTAATAAATATTAAAAAAAATTTTTTTTAAGTGATTATAAAATTATTCTTAAATAATTTTAAAATTTCAAATTTTTTTTTTAAAAGACACCTTTAAATGCTCTTTTTCTAATTATTTTCAGTATAAATTATAGAAAAAATCTTCTATGTTGTTTATAAAAAATACTTTTTTTAGTAAGGGAAAAAAAAAAATTTATGCACAGAGATTGTCTCTTAACATACCTTTATTTATTATTAATAAATCACAAATTTTTCTCTTATTTAGATAATGAGTGAAAATTACTTTTTGAAATATAAACATAAAATAGTATAAGAGAGTTATATAAAAATTGTTGGGGATCAAATTCAGTTATTATGCGGTATTACACATTTTGATAAATTTTTACTGTGTTAAGTGAACTCTGGCCCTTTCAAAAAAACTCTGGCCATTTCTGTGAGGACGAAGCATTCTGACCTATCTTTTCACTGTCTAAGATAGGAAGACACCTATCTTTTCAATAAATTTATTTTCATTCTTGATATTGCTGATTGGAAATAAAAAAGAAGTATATTTAGAGGATCCTTTATTATTACATTTTTGTCTTTGGATAAATTCATCTTCAATCTTACTAGTCTTAAAAATTGATGCCCGGGTGCATTTTAAAAATAAACTAGGTTATATCCCCTATTAATAATAATTAAGAAAATTAGTTTTCATAATTTCAAATAGTGCCAAAACTTATAAATTCAATCTCTAGGTAAATAGATATCTATGTATAATAATCATGTTTAATAGAATTGAGTTAATATATAAAAATGCTCTGTTAATTGATTGGTTTTAGACCAACTTGTTATAATATAATTATGAGATTTAAATTAGATTTCAAAATATATGCATATAGTGAAAAAAAAAAATTTGTATCCATTTTTCAGCCCCCTCATATCAAAATTTCTTCCTAAGGGTTACGAAGCTCAACATCATGTAGTTTACACAAGAGGAACAGAAGCTGAAAAAGAAGGTATTTTTGCACTTAGAGCTGTTTTTGATTTAGTGAAAGTGAAATTTTAATATATGATATAAATAACTGGGATAAAGTGCATTTATTTTAAACTATTTAAACTATTGCATTTATTTTAAATTATTTAAGACATTAAAATGGTATTTGAATGCACATGTATTTGAGTAACATACCTAAAAATAGTAACATTTTTAATAATAAATAACTATATAGGTGATTTATAGTCATTGTTGTATGCTTTCTTTTACTGATAAGAAAATCAACACAACAGTCTACGTATTTGAGCCACCATAGACCTTTTTTTAAAATTTTATTTAACCAATCATTATGTAGAAATTTTATTCTTGATTCTATAATATTCAAGGTTTTTCTCACCTATTTATTAAATTCTTGCTCTCTCCAGATCAATAGTAAAGTGTGATGTTTCTGACCTGTGTGTAATGTCTGTGAAATGTTTTGAATATTATTTTTATGCCCTAGTATTACTATCGCTTTCTTTCGTGGCATTAACTTTGGTCGTCAGGAGTTCAAACCTAGAACTAACCTTTGCAGAAATAAAGATGGAGATATTTTAGCGATAAAACTGACATTCTTAATAGGTGGAATGAACTCTTCGACAACCTACTTAATGTAGAGTGCGTTCAGACAGAGTCCTGCTCACCAAACGTTAACCAAGAGTGTATTGCACCTCTTTCAATGATTGAGGTTGAAGAAGCAGTTCAAAAACTTAAGAACAACAAGGCTCCTGGCCCAGATTTGATATCAGCAGAATTCATCAAAAACTCAGGACCAGATGGGCTAAAGGCCATACATAATATTCTAACATCAGTATGGTAAAAAGAGATACTCCCTGAAGAGTGGAAACACAGCACTGTTTGTCTTATACACAAAAAAGGAGACATTCTTGAATGTTCTAACTACCGGGATATCAGCCTGCTCTGCACTGCATATAAAGTCTTTTCAAAAATCCTATTTAACATACTTAGCCCCTATGTAGAAAACATCATTGGTGAATACCAGTGCGGTTTTAGGAAGGGCAGGTCTACAACTGACCAAATATTTTGCATAAGACAGATTCTGGAAAAGACCAGGGAATTTGGAATTGGTACCCACCACCTATTTGTGGATTTCAAAACAGCTTACGACAGTGTAAACCGGAAGCGACTCATTGAAGCTATGCGAGAATTCAATATCCCGGACAAGCTTGTACGACTCACCACACTTACACTGTGTAAGACCATGCAGAAAGTTAAAATCCAAAATGACTTCTCGGAACCAATGGAGGTAAAAAATGGTGTAAGGCAAGGCGATGCTTTGGCATGCCTACTCTTCAATTTGGCATTAGAAAAAATTATCAGAGATTCAGGAATCAATACCAGAGGACATATCTTTCATAAGTCTGTCCAAATTTTCGCTTTTGCCGATGACATTGACATCATAGCTCGAACACAATCTGACTTAAAGCAAGCCTTTCTATCCATGGAAAAAGAGGCAGAAAAAATGCATCTCACTATTAACCAGGAGAAAACCAAGTACATGCAATGCACCAAAATAACTGATTCTACAACTCACTTGCAAATTGGTGAATACAAGTTTGAAAAAGTAAACAGTTTTGTTTATCTTGGTTCTGAAGTCAACGTTAATGGCAATATCGCACCCGAAATACAAAGAAGAATCAATAGTGCAAGTAAATGTTTCTATGGATTAAAAAAATATTTAAAATCAAACCTACTAAAAAGAGATACTAAACTGTTAATTTATAAATGCTTAATCAGACCTATCCTAACATATGCCTCAGAAACTTGGACAACAACACAGAAAGATGAGAATTCCTTGGGAATCTTCGAACGTCGGATCCTAAGATCCATTTTTGGGGGCAAACAAGTTGATGGTACTTGGTACAGACGTTCAAACTCACAACTCTATCGGGCCCTTAGAGAGCCTGAAGTTGTCAAGTACGTAAAAATTCAAAGAATTAAATGGGCTGGTCACATCATTCGGATGAACAGAGAGCGTCCGACAAACATAATCTTTTCGGCTCAGCCCATCGGATCAAGGCCCAGAGGTCGACCAAAGCTGAGATGGGCCGACTGCGTGGAAAGAGACTTTTCAGTCTTAAAAGTCTCAAACTGGAAGACAGCTGCCAGGCGGAGGGAGGCCTGGAGGAAGTTGATTGAGAAGACCAGGGCCCACCCGGGGCTGTCGTGCCATTGAGGAGGAGGAGGAGTATTACTATCTGTTTTGGATCATGATACGAATCTCCACAGTAAATTTTATTGTTGTTAATTAGTATCTGTAATGTCACAAAAATTGGGTGTGATTAACTGCATTTTAGGGTTGCTACATTTCAGTGTGTTTTATTGTTACGTTTTGCTTTCACGTAAATAATTCAATTTAATCAAAATGAGTTCAAATTTTTAAGATGTTCAAATATTCTTACTTTCATCACTAAGCACATTATTTTAAACAAAATTATTTAATGATTGATGATATCTTTATCTTTTAGAATTAGTGAACTTCACTTTTAGCACAGCTAATCTTGTTGCTGTTGGTTTGTGTTCGGTGGTTGGTGGAATTTATATATGGAACAAGGTATTTATTCGCATTTTATAAAATTTATTATAATATAACATCAAACTGAGTGTAAAATTTTTTTTTTTAAACTAATGTTTTGCTTTTAAAAAATATTAAAGGATAAGAATTGCAATTTCCTGCTTTATATTTCATTGTTATTATTGAATCTGATTTAGATTAACCATTCTATCTCTTAGAACTACTTAAAGAATGTAAGATGATCCAAAAGCATAAGATAATCACTGCTAATTTTTTTAGTTCACAATAATTTTTTAAAACATTGTTCAATTTTAAATTCTAGTACTCTAGTTAAACTGACATCTAACAATTTTTTCTTTTATTGTACATTAATTTTATTTCTTGAATTATAGCATTGGGTTGTAAACAATATCTTTGGATTGGCATTTGCTTTGAATGGTGTTGAGTTTCTTCATTTGAATAATATAATCATTGGCTGTACTCTGTTGGGAGGTTTATTCATTTATGACATATTTTGGGTATGTTCATCACATATTAATGAGTTTTTTTTTTCTTTTCAATATTAATTATATTAAGTGTGTTTTTAATTCTTTGTGTAAAGGTGTTTGCTACTGATGTTATGGTTACAGTTGCAAAGTCATTTGAAGCCCCAATCAAATGTAAGTTATCCAAAGCTTAGTTTATATTGCAATTTTGATAAAAATTTCCTTATAAATGTGTGTATATATAAAAATTATCATTGCAGAATTTTATGCTTACTCATATCAAGATATAAGTGAAATTAAAATCTAAAATTTTTTGATTTTTAAAATTTATGCTTGCAATTTCCTTTTAGAAGACTATTGCACTAGTAATTATTAACTTATTTACATTTTTTAAATTTGGTTGAAGTAAAATTTAATATTTTTAATATATTACGCGTTTGAAAATTTTAAATCACGCCTTTGATATCATTTCACTTTATCACTCACAGCTTGTGCAGATACCATCAGATATACCTGTATTGTTTTAATCATTTTTCGGCAATTATTGCTACAAATTTTTACTTTTTTTATTAAAGATTATGACGTCTTTATCCTCAGTTATTTATTTAGTCATCATGTAACACTTTCTTGGAACTCTTATCAGTTATAAAATTGATAACTAACCAATTAGGTTGGCCCCATACAACACTTATATCCCTGAAGGAAAAAGAATGAAGTAGGGCTTTAAATAATTTATGGACCATATGCATGATTTCAGAATTGCTGTCAGTTTTTATTTCTGTTACTGATAGGAGTTTTTAAAAATCATGCATGCACATAAGCATAAGAACAAATTCACAAGTTTCAACCTTTGTTTTGTGCATTCTTTTTTCAATAGTGTATAAACTTCTGAGTTAGAAGTCTGGATGTGCCTGTTTTATTTTAGCCACCTGCCTTTCCAACAGTAAGAGAAAAAAAAGGCCTTTTCCTAGTGGAATTATTTAAAAAAAGGTAAAAGAAGAAAATTGCTAATGATAAATATTATTAAAATTATCGCGTATATTAAAAAAAAATGTGTTATGATTTATGGGCATTGTGCGGATTATTGCCAAATTTCACTTATCCGTGCTGTGTAGATCTCTCAATTCCGCTGTGTAATCCAGAGTTTACTGTAATTGTATGAGACCCTATTTTTATTATTATATTCTAAATATAATGAATGTTTATTTTGTAATGAACTAACAATTAAAATTTAAATTCAAAATTCTTTTTAGTGGTCTTCCCACAAGATATTTTAGAAAATTGGTTGCATGGTAGCAATTTCGCAATGCTTGGACTTGGGGATGTGGTTATTCCTGGAATCTTTATTGCTCTCCTTTTACGGTTTGACCTAAGGTAAGCTAATTTTAAATTTTAGTTGTTTCCTTTTATACTTACATTTGGCATCTAACAAGTGATAAAAATGGTTCTTACATGTTAAAATTAATTATTTTTGTGTTTCACTGCTTCCTAAAATGAAAAATATTCTTTATGTGTATATGTCTTTTTATATTTCTATTTAAATTCTAAATTAGTTTGGTTGCATTTTTTCTATTGATCATTCTATTTTATTTATTTATTTTAGTCTTAAACGTGGCCAATTGCTCTATTTCTATTCAAGTTTTGTAGCATATTTCTTAGGACTTGTGCTTACCATCGTCATCATGTCGTATTTCAAACATGCTCAGGTATTATTCATGCATTTATATTTTACTATGACAGAATTTATAATTTATTTAAATGAAAAAATATTTATTTTACTTATTCATTTTTAAAGCAAATTAAAGATATTTATTGATAGTTTATTTTCCTGAAACATATATGTTCAGAGTAGAGCAATAGTCCATTTTAATTTAAGGATAAAAGCTATAATTATTTGCAAAAATCAAGCTCTTATTCGATTTTGTTTTCTCCGAGTCAAATTGTAATTTAGAATTCCTTCTTGCAAATTTTTAAGGCTTGATTTTTGTGAAATGAAAGTTCACTTTTTTTAAGCCCTTTTTTGAATTATTCTATTATCTAATCCTTATTTTAAGTTATTGCTGTCTTACTAGTTTGTATGCAAAAGAAAGAAAAAAAATGTGCATAGAAATATCTTAGAGATAATAATAAAAAAACCATTTATAAGTGCACCATAAAAACTATAAAATTTATTTTTAAATGATTTATGATTTAATAATACAATTTGTTACATTTCAAAACAATTCAACCACATTATTGAAATATTTAATTAACTCCATTAAATTGGTAATTTACATTAAGACTATTGTAAAATTAGTTTGGATTTATAAAACTGATATGACTACCTTAAGAAATTATTTCAAATTTTTTAAAAATTTTCCTAGCTTGTCAAAAATAATGCAAATTTGTTCATTTAAATGTTTTTGTATCTTATAGTTGTATGAAATTTTTAAAATTGGTATAAATGATAATATTTGTGTAATTGGCAGGCATTATATTATAAACTTAAATTTCAGTTAAAATGATTAAAAAAAAATTCTATCCATAATTAATACCTTAACAGAATATATTCATGCAGTTCACCTTAAATTTTTTTTCAGCAAATTTTTCACAATTGTGTCTTAAGTAATTTATTTATATTTTGCATTAAAAAAATATTACTATGATATTTATAAATAAGATATACAGATTAAATTTAAACATGTGAAATTTGTTTCAAGAATTTTATTATACTATAATCTGTGCAATTGCTATGATGGTAATTTTTAATTTTTTCTTTTTCTAGCCAGCTTTATTATATCTAGTACCTGCCTGCATTGGTGTTCCAGGCCTTGTTGCTGTTCTCAAAGGAGATTTGAAAGCTCTCTTGAGGTTATATGTTTTTCTATATAAAGTGTTTAATTGCATTAAAAGGAGAAAAAAAAAGAATGCAGCATTTTCTGGATAAAAACTAAGTATTTTCTCTTTTAAAAGAAGCTTAAGAAAATGTTAAAGTGTCCACCAGCTTTTTTGAGAGAAAACTATGCGTTTCGTAAAGATTATAGTTTTTAAAAAAAAATCCACATGAAATTTTTCTTTTCTTTCAGCAGCATGAATAAATTTTAAAATACAAAATGATAAATTTAATTTTTAGTAAATAATTTGGCTTACTTAAAGATAAAACATATTTGAGCCTCTAATTATTTAAAATCTTTTAAATTTATGAAAGCGAGAGGGTGTGAATAACACCAAGAATTATTTTGAAGTCAGCAAATACTATGTCCATAACTAAACTCCTAACACTTAAAATGTATGTTATAACTTGCAAAACAAACAGCCAAGTGTCCAATGGCTTTTGTGTCATATATGAATAGATTACTAGATTAATATACAAAGTTTCTGAAACTGGCCTGCAGATTCTTGGGAGTCTACGAAACAGTTTTTGCATTTATCTATACTTAATATTTTGAAATTAAAAAAATCTTTTCATGTAATTACCTTGTGATTGATACTTTAGTTAAAAAAAAGCTTTTAACTTATGGTTACTTCTCAAATTTTATTTTTAATCTTTTCTTTTTCTTCGACCCCCTCGCTTAAAATGTGTTTATTATAGTAGTTTAATAATTTTATCCCCTTCGTATTTTAGTTATGCAGACCACCCTGAGGAAGAAGAGACACCAAAAAAATCACAAAAAGAAGAAGATGCATCAAAAAAGGCACCAAAAGAAGAAACTGAACAAAAAGAGTACAACTTAAGAAATTCTAGTCGCAAAGAAGTAAAAAAAGAACAATGATTTTATAAAAAGATTCATGTTGCGTAAGGTGTATTTATTGCAACCTTATGTTTGTGATTGTGTTCATATACATGAGACACATAAAGTATTTCCATTTTTTTTTTGTTATTTGAAATTGTATCATGAGCTTCCAAAAGCATGTTGTTTTTTTTTTTAATTTTTATTGGCAGTGATGTGCGAAAGGGGAGTCCAAGGGGACATTAGCAAATTTTTAAATTAGACTTATTTTCTGCAAACAACAAATTTGTAAACTATATATGTATCAAACTAAACTATGCAAATGAATTATAAGTATACTATGTATCAAATGAATTAGAAATATATTTTAAACATTTTATAATTCATTTTAAATGGTAAAATAGCTGTTCAGCAATGAATGAAATCAGTTAGGTTCTTAAGACATTTTCTTCCAGCTTCTATTCTCAAAAGTATTGGACCTTAACATTCTTTAACTTGAAATACTATAATAATTAAAATTTGCCTTATACAGTAAGCAGGATGTTCACTACTTCTATATTATAATTTTTTTTTTTTTTTACTAAACTTTAAATCTATTACTATTATTCTTATAACATTACACTTTTTATGTTTTCATCAATATTGATATTATATTGCTGAAAAGGAAGGTTGCAGTAATAAATAATTTTTACCTCAGAATAATTTCTACTTGAATCCATTATACTTTTCATTAGTGAATATATTCTACTGATTTGTTGCGTTATTATTTAAATAGGTCTTTCACCCTTCCAGTGATATCCCTCTTTCCAGGGGCGTCTAACCCAGGAGTTTGCCCCTGACATTAATTATTGGTAATGTTTTCAAATTGTCTACAGAATTAGAACCATCTGCAAATATAATTTCAAATATTCATTCCCTTTTAAAAAAAAGGTCCTTTATTTCCTACACAAAGCTATTTTTTTACTCTTTTTAATTAAGTTTTTCTTGTTAGATCAATTTTTGTTTTAAAAGTGATCTTGTCATGTGAGCATTATACTCTGCCATTTAAACATGAAACTTATATCATTTTTATAAATATGAGACAGTTACATTTAAATTTATGTATGGTATTTTTTGTAAGAAATATGTTAGTACTTAAAAAAGTTTAAAAAAAAAAAATCAGTTTCTTACAATTTTTGCCACCTTTTTGTAATAAAATTCCGTTAAAATAGCTTTGTTTATTTTAAGATAGTAGGACTAATTAATTCTAAATTTAAAGTTGTCTTTGTAAAATTATTAAATTTTATTGCATAGCTAAATATTTGTGACGCACATTGCATCCGCAGCAACATAAATTTATTTTGATACTTTTTTCTGTGCTGCTTTGTTTATTTGCATTTCCCGAGTGTGATATTCATATTAAATTATAGTTGTTAAAAGTTAAATATCATTCCCAATTTTTCTTAATCCTATAAATGTTATGTTATTGGCATAAATGTAAAACAAAACCATTTTTGTAATAAAGAACCTTTGAGTGGATATTTTTTGTGGTTTTAGTATTTATCATTTTTCGGAAAGAGATGACAGTACTATCTTGTACTATTTATGGTTTACAATGAGAAAACAATGGTCCCCAATATCATTAAAGTAGGATTGGCTAAATTCATATTTTTTTTAAAGTAAAATAATTTTTATTTATATCAGATTTTTGATTTTTTAAACATCCAAATCATGTGATAAAATATTTTAGCAGTGCTAAATATTATTTAAAAACAATAATATAGCTAAAATAGTTGATGATTTTTAACTAAAATGTTTCAAAAGACAGGAGGCAATTTGCTAATTACATATACAATGAAGAATAAATTAGTTAAGATTAGAATACATTAAAGGGGAAAAAAATATTTTATATACGTCTTCAATATTGATAAATACTAACTTTGTATTTAATAAGTTTTAAAAGCACATACAATAGTTCAAATAAACATAAAACTTGTGTGTCATAAAAATGATATAATTAAAATATGTTTTATTACCAGCAAATTATGTTTTAACAGTTTATAATTACTCTATATTCATTTTTAGTTTCTAATTTTATTTATTAGTCTATTTTGAAATATAATTACCCCTTTCAATATTTCTTTGGATAAAATCTTCATTATTAATGAAATCAGACTTTAAGAAGAATCACACCCTAAATAAATATTATATACAGTCGGACCTCTTTTAACAAAGTTGCTAAATCCCGATAATAAGTTTGTTTAATGGAAAATTCGTTAAATAGAAAATCACCTTTTGAAATACTTAAACAACACAAAACAGGTTTCAAATTCATAAACACTAGACATTATTAAAATAGCAATTGACACACCTTTAACTTCTAAACTAGTATCTACTATTTATTTCATAAATCTTAACTATAAAAGAAATCTGCATGGAAAGCAAGAATAGAGCAAAACATTATCTAGTGTTACACTATCATGCTACATACATTTTCAACCAAAAAAAGCTAAATTTGTTTATAAAATTATAGCTGCCTTTATTATAAAAGTAATTTTAAATATTCTACATATGTTCTTAAGTTTAATTTCTACTGATAATTTTGACTGAGTTTTTCATTTGAAATGCAAAAAGGAAAGGGGATTTTACTGCTTTCTCTAAAAATTAAGTGGCTTCAAAGTCATTTCCCTCATAAAATGCTTTAACGAATTTGAAATATTTTGGGAAATAGGGAAAGTGGTTCTCTAAGAAAAATTCATTAAATGGAAAATTCCCTTCGCTATTTGGAAGTTATTTAACGAAGAAATTTCCAAAATGTTCTTGGTTCCACGGGAAAAAAATATTTGCAAAATGGAAGTCCGTCAGTATTTATAAAAATACTTTAAACTTAATGATTTATTTAAAAAAATAGTCCCGTAGTGGACTGATCGTTAGGACATGGTTCCCAGCAGATCACCGAAGTCAAGCATCACTGGCTGTGGGTGGGTGACCACTTGGATCAGTCTACGTAGGGACCGAGAGTGTGCGATATTGGTCCTCGTTAAACCGTAAAGTGCTCGACTTCGCGCGCAGGTCATCGGGCTACCGAAGCGGGGGTGCCATCCCCTCCGCAGAGGATCAAAATTGGGATGGCATGTCTTCGGATCATCCTCCGGGACGTTTCCCAGACCGTCGCTAAAGCCCATTGTGCAGCTCTAGTGCGACGTAAATTAACAACAACATTTAAAAAATATTGGTTTAAATTATGCCAATCCTGCATTAAAGTAATTGTCTAGATTTATCTCTACAATAGTCAAGGTAAATGAAACCTGAAATTTGACTTCAATTTCTTGTCTTCTGAGAAGAATCCAAATGTCCTAAGATTATGAAATTGGTTGTCAAAATTACGTGGTGATGCAAATTTATGTGCGTATAAGCATGCTTAGCTACAAGATGAATATTGTTTGACTTCCCTACATGTACTAGGCCAGGGGTGGCCAAGCTCCTTGATAGCCGAGCCATTTTTCAAAATTAGAAATTTTTCGCGAGCCGCAATTAAATACTTATATAAAAGGTATGCAAAAGAGGTATTAAAAAATTTTTTTTTACATAAAATTTATTTACTGAAAACATATAAATGAAAGTACAAAATATGTGTATTGAATTTAAATATTAAACTCATTTATTTTACTTCTCTTGATAATTCTTTAAAATTTGGTGAATAATTGGTGACAGCACTTCTCAGTAATTCTTTGAGATGCTGGTAAGTTTATACTGATCAATGTTTGGATTTTATGAATTTTAAAGTGGGATAAAATGATTCACATAAGTACGTAGTTCCGAATTAATTTGACAGGCAGCCTTTTTTAATTCAGGATATTTCGATTCTGGTACAAATGTCCAAAATTCAGTAATCGATGTCGACTTATATTTTCATTGTAGAGCTTGATCTTCTTGCATCTCTATTTCTAATTCTCCAGATGCTTTTTGTGTCATAATTATATTAGAAATGGAAAACTCACCTTGAATTGAACAACATTGCACTTAGTCTTTCATATTTGTTCTCTCTGAGTAATTTAAAAGACATTTTGAAACACAGACGAAGCGATAATAATTTTTTAAAAAAAATAGCACAAAAATGAAAAAGGAACTCTGGTACATTTATCAAGAGCCACAAATAATCCTTCAAAGAGCCGCATGTGACTTGAGAGGCGCAGGTTGGCCACCCCTGTACTAGGCAATCAGATTTTGAAAATATTCCATTTGATTAACATTGAAGCCACCAATTTAATTAATATAAATAATTTTTAAGGGACATGACAGTTTCAATATTTAATGTTAATCCAAACGTAAAAATATTCCTGTTTAAGAGACATTTTAACATATTTTTCATGGGTTCATATATTGAATGTCTACCGACATAAGATAAAACTTTAAAAAAATAATGAATTTAAAAATCAATAAATATTATTACAATTTAGTACAAAAATATTACAGTAGGGAACCGATTATCCGGAACGACCGGGACCATCGCTATTCTGGATAACTGATTTTTCCGGTTTTCTGAATCGCTACAAAAAGCCGTTTTTTTTTATTGTTAAACCCAACTAAAAAAAAAAAATATTTGGAAATAGTCTTAAAAAGAAGAAAAAAAGATGAAGTAATACACTAATGATTAGTTCCAAAATGATGGTAAGGTAAACATCTTTCAAAAAAGAAAGAAAAATTTTATTACACTTTTAAATTTTACACTCTAAAAAATATTTTTTTTTTAAAATGGCGGAAAAATGTATCGAATTTCGTTCCGGTTTTCTGATTTCCGGATAACGGGATGAAAAGAAGAAGAAAAAAAATTAATAAACAAATTTTTTTTATATTAAGAAGTTTCAGTTTGAACACTTTTCTTTAGTCAAAGAAGCTATTTAAAGCTTTTTTAATGATCACAAAACATGATAAAAAACTTTTCTTAATTAATTTTTTTTAAAATGAAACTTCCTGAAATTTATGTTATTGTTATGTATGAGTGTTTATGTGTAAGTACAACATCAGACTGCATAATACACTCTATAACAAAAAAATCGACGTTCGATCAGGCTGGAATGATGCCGACTGGGGACGTAGTCTTTAGCGACGAATCCCGCTTCCAACTGTGTCCTGACGATCATCGAAGACGTGTTTGGAGACGCACAGGGCAGAGGGGGGATCCTGCCTTCACTATTGCACGCCACGCCGGCCCTCAACAAGGCATTATGGTCTGGGGTGCCATTTCCTTTGACAGCCGGACCCCTTTGGTCGTCATTAGAGGTTCACTTACTGCACAGCGGTACGTCGACGACATCCTAAGATCTGTTTTGCTACCGTTTCTTTCGCAGCGCCCTGGGCTGGTTTTTCAGCAGGACAATGCCAGACCACATACGGCACGTGTTGCTATGAACTGTCTGCAAGCTTGTCAAACTCTTCCTTGGCCTGCCAGATCACTCTCCCATCGAGCATGTCTGGGATATGATGGGAAGGCGACAGCATCTGGCACGGAATGTTGATGACCTCGTTCGACAATTGGATCGAATTTGGCAGGAAATACCGCAAGAGACCATCCGGGAGCTTTATCGGTCTATGCCAGGCCATGTGGCAGCTTGTATTCAGGCTAGAGGCGGGTCAACACCTTATTGAACTTGTTACTGTAACTCTGCAATAAATTATTCAATTGTTCTGAAATTTTAATCATTTACTATTCTGTACATTGTCTTCCGATCCACCAATTTTCGTTTCAATCGGACAACTCCTTCTTGGTGCGTCGATTTTTTTGTTATAGAGTGTATATTAATAGAGCATTTAACTTAGGTATTGGTTGGCCAAGGATAGTACTGGTGATGTAGCACAGATGTGATGCATTGTGATCAAATAAAACATGGCTTAATAATCACCACAGAAATACACAGTGACAAGCAGGACCTTATAATGCAAAAATTAACCTAAACTGGTCAAAAGATAGATTCTTATCTCACTGTATGACGCTCGATTACTTCACAAATGACTCCGGCAAAACTACCCAGGAATTAGAACTACCGTCAGACCTAGCAAAACAACATAGGTGCTTAGTTCCTTTTTTCTACAAACTTCATTCTTGATGACTTAATTCTATTTTTTTTATCAGGGTCACATCCGCATATTAAATAACATTGGTGATTTTTTCTCTATTTAATCAAACTACATTTAAAATTAACATAACAAACACAACTGAAATAATAAGATTTTTATTAATTTCTAACTGAAAGTTGACTAAATTTCCCACTAATGTTTCCTCTTCTTTCCTGAAAAAACAATTATATTTCGTTAAATATTTATAAAAAAAAATGAAAATATTATACAGATGCAGAAAGTTGTGTTAAAAATAAAGTAAAAAATATAAGTGTGTACCTTTCCATTTTTTGGAGTTTTTGGAAGCTTTACCCTGTAAAATAATATTACATTAGATGAGTTAAAGAACAATAACTTTAAAGCAATATCATAATAAAATATACATTAAGTTTTTAAGGTATTTCCATCTTAAAACTGTATTCTTTTAGTTTTATAAAAAGCTAAACATATGAAAGCAGTGAAATGAAAATACAGGGCGCACAAATTGGCCGGAATTTGTGCTATTTGCTAAATCAATATCATTAAGTAAAACATATTAATTTAAAAATTAAGTCATAAATTAATTTTTTTTAAAAAAGTTTTTTTTTCTTCATAAAAACAAACTTATTTGCAATATTAAGTAAATTTTTTGCAATAAAGAGAATTTATTATTGTTTTTTATGGCACAACAGAATCTGACATAAAAAGAAATATCAACATAATATTTACTTCTTAATTGTTTCAAAAAATCTGTGATTTTTATTTTCATATGATGTTAAAGAAAATTAATCAAAAGTTAAATGGTATGGTAAAATCAGCAAACCAAAACTAAATATCATGGGGATTTTTTTTGTTTACTTTTTCTAAAATTTAAGAACTGAAATAACAAGAGTTTTTTCTTTCTAGCTAAACCATCTTTGAAATAACATTGCAAAGTAAAGGAAGAGAGAAAATTAGAAAATTTGGAGTTGAAATTATAGCAAAACATGAAATGCTTGGTAAAAACCTAACATTTCCAACAAAATAAAAAAGGAACAATGGAAGTAAACATTTTCATTGTCGTAATTATTGAAAAATAATTACTAAATTTTATAAAAAATAATGACTTAGAAGAACTGTTTAAATTAATAATAATGAAGACCTTAGCATAGGGGTGCACAACCTTTTTCAGTGAAGGGCCACATGCACAGCAGATTGACCAATGAAGGGCCGCATGCCAAAGTGTTTAGACCGACATATTGAAAGCAATTGTTGGTGGTGATTGTTATATAAACATCATTGTTTATATAACACTAAATTCTTTTTGTCGGTTAACCTTGTAATCTCTTTGCAGAAAATACAATACTTTAAAACGTTTAAAATTAGAAAATGCAAAACTGATTACTTAAGAAGGAAAACAGAATTCGAAAATCAGAATCAATTTATCGGAAAAAATTTAGATAAATTGAAATAATTAAAAAACTATGGAAAAATTGAAATTTTTTTTATCACATTACAAAATACAAAAGTCCATTTAAACATAAATTTTAACGTTAATTTTTTTTTCATAGAATTAAATTTCAAATAAATAAATATTCTAGTCATTAATATAAATTCAAGTTAAATACTTTGATTTAAAGAAAGTTTATAGGGTTAAAAATGATTAAAACTAAAACTAAACCCCTTAAGTGGAAAATAAGACTTAGCATTTATTAGGGAATGTACTTTATCTTTCAGACATTTTTATTTTAAATTAATAATAAGAGGCTATGAGAGGAAAGAAAAAGAAAGAAGAAAACACATTAAATTTTAAGGAACTATATTCCTTAATAATAAAAAACTATTAAGATACTTGTTTACAACTTTTTATGACGAATATATTTTTAACATGACACTTACTATTTACAATTAATACACAATCAATTAACAATCAATAAAATTTACATTACTTTTCGAAACTTATCTTGATTAAATTTTTTATACAGTTAAAATTTAATGATATACAAATCATTTCCCAGCATATAATCATAAATGATATAAAATGCTCCAAGAAGGTAGAAAATGGTTTAAAAAATTTCTTAATGGTTATACTGTAATTTGCAAAATTTTTGAATATTGTGATAATTTTATCTACTTGATCATGTGATATTTTTTGAGCCATTAAATGAAAATGTAATGATTGTATTTAAAGACTACTCTGTAATTTTGAACAGGCCAAATTCATTCTGGAAAACAGTCTTTCGACAGAAGCTGTTGTTGTGGGTAGTATTAAACTTAGAGCAAATAACATAATCAGTTTTGGAATTTGTCCTAGATGGTGTTCTTCCTTTCTGGGTTTTTAAATCGCGGAAATACAAATAGCGATGTGTTATTTTTTAATTGCTTGAATACGAATTGCTATGTGTTATTTTTTAATTGCTTGAATACGAATTGCCATGTGTGATTTTTAAATTGCGTAAATAAAAAACTCGATGCTTGTTTTTCAAATCGCGTGAATACGAATCGTGTGGCTTTTAAATTGCGAAAGGACTACTCACAACACTTGATTTTTAAAATGCATGAATATGAATCGCGATATATGGTTTTTAAAACGCGTGCATATGAATTGCGAGAAAAGTAGCAACGGATGATATTTTAAACGCCAGAACACGAATCGCGATATGTGATTTTAAATCCCGTAAATACGAAACGCGATGGATTATTTTTAAATCTCGTTAATGTTAATACGAAATGCGATGCGCAATTTTCAGATAGCGTAAATACAAATTACGATGTATGACTTTTAAATTACATGTGACAACAAAAAGAATAGGTTCGATGTGTGTTGTTAAACTTGCACGTGTTCATGGGACTAAAGAATTATGCCGTTTTTTGAATTATTTATTTTTTTATTTTTTTTTTTGCAAAACGGACCGCATTTAAACACATCTAGGTTTTTTTTTTCCTGGGAAGGTGTTGATTTGGCTAAGATACGTAATTACTTTTTAAGTTACGAAAAAAAATTAAAGCTGAATCGAATTTCACGAGTTGTAATACTGTGTGAAAATATCAGGTATATTCTAAATCACAAATAAAAATGCAGCAATAACGGGAAAGAAGAAAAAACACTTTCGAAAAACCTCTTAAAAAATTCGTGTTAAAATCGGTACAACGCAAATGATAAAATCGGCACAAACAGAGCACGTAAAAAATAATTATTTTAATGCGCGATTCAAAACTCGCTTGCTGTCAAAGTATTAAAAATATCATAATCTTTTTAAATCACGGGGAAAACGTAATAACTACTAAAACAATAACCAAAATACTTTAATATTTTAGATGAAATTGGAGTAAATAAAGTCCATCAAAATTTTATGTAATTTAAATGCGAGATTTGAAATTAAAATGTCGCAATAGCGTATAAAAAATATCGGTACTTTCAAAACCTTGTAGAAATGTGTAGCAATAATTTCTAAAATAACGATTGAAAAATAATTTGATTTGCGATAAAATCGTTACAAATAAGCCATGTCAAAAAACGATTCTTTACTCGCGATTCGTAATAATATCGCGCTAAAATATCGAAGTTTTAAATACCGGGTGGAAATGTGCAGCAATAACTGTTAAAGAAAGGATCTAAAGTCATTTAGATTTTCCATGAAGTTTGCACGAATAAAGCGTTTCATAACTTTCAAAAATCGCTACTTCAGAAACTACTTGAAAATGGGTAGCAATAACTACCGAAAAGTCATTGGAATCGGCACATACGAAAAGCGTCAAAATGGGTAATTAAAATTCGTAAATCGTAATAATGATGTATTTGAAATCCGAAGCGTTAACCATCGAAAAACTACATTGATTGAGATTGGGTGCGTCAAAAACTTAAAAGTGTAAATTTAAATTACCGAATTTTTTATTATTTTTCAAAAACAAATATTTAAATTTTTTTCATTTTGTTCAGATTGCGGCCGCGGGCCGCACATCGAGGTTTGGCGGGCCGCATTTGGCCCGCGGGCCGCAGGTTGAGCACCCCTACCTTAGCATAAAAAATGATTGATTTTTGTCATAAAATATATTTAAAATTGCATATTGCAAGTTAAAAACTTACTGCTGAATATCACGTGAACAAAATGAAAGCTCATGATTATTTATATATAAGCTCTAATGAAAGCTCTTGAGTATAGATATTTACAGAAAGGAAAGTAAAATTTTTTTAAAAATATATTCTACTTACCTTCTTCCCTTGTGATTTTCGTTTCATTGTAATATCCTGTAATCAAGTAAAAGAAAAATTAATAGTAACAGCTTTTTATTAAAGCTTGTCTTAGCATTGTAGGAAGCAGTAAAAATATTCTGACAAAATAACTGCTAATTTTATCTGGTATGACTTTTTTCTGAACTGGCACATAATTATTGAACCATTTTCATTGCTTATTGTTTTCTTTACTTTTAAGAACAGCTGAAATTTTTTTATAAAACTTTAAACTTGAACTAGTCTGTTACTTATCCGCAAGAGACAAAAATACTTAAAATATACAATTTGTAAGAATTTTTTATTAATTAATATAATAATAATTCATTAATATTATGATAATTTATTAATATTACATTAAAAATTGCAATAAAATATATGTCACAGTCACAGAAGATGTAATTTCCATCAAAAAAAAAAAAAAAAAAAAGGGAAATTTCAACTAATTTGTTGCCTTTTGTGGTTTTGGATAAGAAGCAGACCTGCAAAAATAGAATTTAATAAAGGAAACCCTTTTTTTCACAAAAAATGGCTATTTTTTGAATTGCTTTATAATAAGATAACTTCCTTGACATCTTTTTGTCCTTTGGAAATTTTTATTCATATTAATCAATCCGATTTGTAAAAACTGACTATTTTTTTTAAAGATATATACTAGAAAATAAATTAAAAAATAATGAAAATAATCACCTCTGGTTGCATATCTAAAGCTGATATATCATCAAATTTAGGATTGAAATTTGTAACAGTCATCATTTGTCGGGCTTCATGCTAAAAAATTGAAAACACACAAACTTTATTTTCAACATTGTTAATATCAAAAATGAATCAAATAGATCTTACTTTTTTTTTTAAAAAAAGAAAAGCTTTTTTTAATGAAGAAAAAATGTCGATTATAGTTAAACAAAGCAAATAACTTTTTTTAAACAAAGAAGTAACCAGCAAAATCTATATTAGTAATGATATCAGGAATAATACTTTGATAAATAATTAAATAGCAATAAATAAGCTTTTAATATACAACTAATATAAATATACAACTAATACAAATATACAAACGAAAATTAAAAAATGAAAGAGTAAAAAAATTTTTTTAAGGTTTTTATAAGGTAATTCAATACTTATTTAAATAGTAAGAAGTCAACTATGACAAAACATCTATTTTTAAATAATTATTTCCAAGCTTAATTTGAACTTAATCACAGTGGAGTCCCAATTTTATGTTTTCCTTTAAACTAGCGTTAAAAAAAACGCATGAAGTAGGATAAGGTAAAATAGGATTTAAAAGAAACTTATGTATATATTTCAAATATTGATACTTACCAAGATGACCTGTGTAATGTGTAACCTTTGCACGTGAAGAAATGTGTAACCTTTACACGTTTTTTGTGTTTCGATTTAATTATAATAATATCCCGCTTAATGCTTATTACTGTTATCAGATTTGTGTTATGATTTACATTTGCAAATATTTTAAGATTTTTGAATAAGATTTCAAATTTTTGTTCAGTTGTGGATATATTTTTCGCTCATCTGTATCGTTTTCGTCACTACAATCGAGCGCAGGCATTAAATTACATATATTAAAGGAATTGAAAAGTAATGGGATATGCGTTACAATAAATATACGCATCGTCAACTTCAGAATATCTTCAGTCTTGCAATTCTATTCTATAGGGTCCATGTTTACAATTGAACTACAATAACCAATTAACCCCGAGAAGCTTCATTAAACCCTTTTGTCATGTATTTTAGTCAACACTGTCCAACGCTATATAAATCATATTCAGAGTTTTCAGAACATTTATTTCTGTTTTAGAAGCATCTTGCAGGTTATCGTAATCCAGAAAAAGAATAGTTTAGTGCAACATTTTTTAAATGATTGGATAATTTCACGATTCACCCCTCTTCTCGTGCTTTAGCGATCCCACCACCCTCCTGATTTTGATTCAAGGGGGGAAATCCCCTCCCACAGACAAAAAAACAGAATAGGAATCATGTCAGAAAGAATACAAATATCAAATAAATAAGTCTTTAAACGAAAAAAAAAAGGAGAAGAAAACTCCTGTGAGGATTTGTAGAGAAAAAATTACTTTGATCTGTTAGAAAATGAATAAAGCAGGATTTTCTTAAAAAGTGTAACATAAAATCTGGGAAAATTTAACATGATTGGTAGGTAATTTTGACTGACCCGCAGTTAATGATGCAAGATGATGTATGAAACAGACAACATAAAATTGGAGTTTCACTGCATTTTTAATTAAAGTATTTTACTAATCTTAAATGCAACTAAATATTTAAAAAATTTAATTAGTGAATGATAGTCTCAGTAGACCATTTTAAAAATTCTGTGCTGAATGAATTCTTATTTGAATTTGATTAAACTATACAAAGAGGTCAATTCAAATTTTTAGAATAGCTAATCTTCATCACATAAGATTTGATTTTCTCTTCTAAAAAAGTAAATAAGTATATGAATCCCAATTCTTTCATATGAAATTTCATGAGAAGACAATTTATTTAAAGGAGTTTTTTTCTTCATAATAAAATTCAAGAATCCTAAAAATTAGGAAACAACAAATTGATTAGAATATATAATATACTTTCATAACTTTGCACAATTTCTAGAAGGATCCCTCATTTTAACATTAAATTTACACAACAGTCAAATTTTCATTTTGTGACATAACTCAGTTAACTGTTAAACAAGCTTAAAGTCAAAATGCAAATATTTTCCTCATAAAGGCCTAATATTTGCTCTGAATACAAATAAAAACTGGTTCTCAAGTATGCAAAGAGGTTTTCCTCTTCTGAAACAAATGCAAAGCTTGTTATGTAACAAAACAGGTTGAACTTCTTTTTTTCTTGGAAGATCTCTTTATTTATGAGGCAAATGACATTGTGATGCGGTTCTGAACCATTTGTGTTGTGCATTATAGAATTGCTAATTATGTTCTATGTATATAGAATTGTATTACAGAATTGTTAATTACGTTCGCGGTAAATGGTTAAGATCCTTGCTTGTTAGTGTAAAAATAAACATACGAGTTTCTAAAAAAAAAATTTATAAGATAAAATATGTTTTACTTACTCGTTGTTTTTTAGTCATTGGCAATCTCAACATGTATTCCTCTTCATATCTAAAAGAAAAAGCAATTATATTTCATGCACATATATAAACAGACATATAAGATAAATATAATAATAAAATAGATATAAATTGAAATTTAATATTCATAACTTAAAAAAATAATAATAATACCTGGAACGTTCCTTCATTTCTTCATTCAATTTAATTCTGTAAGGATCAACAGTTTCCTATAAATAAAATAAAATGAATCAAATTTTTTTTTAAAAAAATAAATAAGACTACAAAACAAATAATTACTGTAACTAAACTGTTAAGTAAATCTTTGTAAAGTATCATAGATTAGCATAAAAAAAAGAATCAATACAGCTTCATTACTAAATAAAAATTATAACTCTATTTTTTTACAATAAACATATGACAATATAACATGTATTAAAAAAGAGGTAATAAATCTTAAGGTAAGGTAATAAATCTTACACAATGTATTATAATCATCAGATTATTTGTTTAAACTATGAATTGTTTCCTTCACAAAAAAGAGGATGGGGATAATAAGAAAAGCATAAAAACAAAGAATTGTGCATGAAATATATTGACTCAAAAAATATCTAGTTATGCATAAAAAACATTTAATTTTGATTGTGATATTATTCATATGATAAATCGATAACTAATTTTTCACTACACAAAAACAAGAAGAAAAAAAAAAGAATTGTGCATGAACTATACTAACTTTAAAAACATTTAGCCATGCATAAACAAACATTTGATTTTGTATGTGATATTATTAATATGATAAATTGACTAACGATAACTTGTACAACCAAGTAATAATTATGTAACCAATACAGAAAGTTCACCACCCTATAAAATAACCAAAATAAAGTTTTCATAATAACTAACATGTCAAGTGACTTAATTTCATATTTATTTTGTAAATTCATTAGATTTTTTGCACTTTTATTAATTTTCCTGCAAACAATAACTTAATCATGATTTTTTTGACAAGCATTTAAATATAAAAACTATACATAATTATGAACTATTCAATTACTTATGGTTATCTATTGGCAGCAATTTCAGATTCAAGTTTACACAATGATACCTTACAGTAAAGAAAATTTAACAATGCCTTTCATTTACTGGTAGCTTAATTTATAACTATGAAAAAATTTAATAAGCTAACTATATTGAAATACAAGTTAGGAACCTTATTTCCAACTATTTTCTGATACTACCTATACCTTATAGCATTATCGTAAGCAAATAATTGTGCAAATAAAATAAGCTTTCTTTTAATCATTTTAAAGTTATAACAAGCCTATTTTTTAATTACATAAAATAATTTAATTTTATTCTTTAAATTTATTAAAATTGGTACTACTATTTATCATTTACATTAATAAATGTCAGTAAATATGAGGTAAGATTTTAAAATCACAAAAGCAATCACATTATAATAAAAATTTCTTTCTTTTTTACGCACAGAGAACACTAGTTAACATGAAAACCCTTCAAGACAATATCAATGCTAAAGAAACTCTCTTTTATAATTGTAACTTTTTATATATTTATAGTAATATTTAGTTTCACACATATAAAATAATAATTTCATCCTCACACATACAATAAGGGGAAAAAAAAGCCTTCAAAATATAAATAGTCACTCAATTTTTTTAAAAATTAGTTTTGAGCTTTAATCTCTGTCACTCAAAAGATTTAAGTAATTACTTACAATTAGCAGCTCATAAGTGATTCAAAAACCGAAATATAAATTCCAAAATTAATATTCTAGAAAAAATAAGTTCTGACCTTAATTTCTTCAGGCCCAGTGTCATATTCTTTACGCAATTCATACAGAACACTACTGCTTAAAGCTCTTTTTTGTGATTTTTCGAGTATTTTCTTTTTTCTTTCTTCCACATTATTATCTTCAGCTAAAAAGATATAAGTAAGGAGATTATTTATAATGGCAAACAAACATTTTAATTCATAACATAATCAAAAAAAGTACATACATAAAAACAATTAAATTATTCTCTTTCTTTAAAAATTAAACCTCAAAGACATTTTATTAAAAGTACAATTATTGTAGATCAAAATTAATGTTCCAGTACAAGGATCATTGAGACACAAAACACAAAATACCCAATTTTCATTGTTCTATTAGAACAATGAAAATTGGGTAAATTGAATATTTCCAGGCTGAATATATTCAGCCAAATTTTCAGTTAATACTAGTTAACTGAAAATTTCCAAGCTAACTAGTAATCAGCCTGAAAGTTTTCAGTTAACAAGTATTAACTGAAAATTTCCAGGTAGTACTAGTTAACTTGGAAATTTTCATAAAATTATGGAATTCACTATATAAAAGCAATAGTTATTTAAGCAAAACTTTTAATTATTTGGGATACAAATTATAAAAGCTATTAAAATAAAACTTTTAGAAATATTTATAAATAACACTTAATTCTGTATATTTTAAAACTCAAAAGTTTTTGCTTATGTAAACTACAGGAAATACTTACTTTTAAACTTTATGTAACAAATTTAATAATGAATTACACAAATAGTTATGTACAAAACATGCATTAATAAATCCTTTTCAAGAAATATGGCTATTTCCTTTTAACCTGCACTAAAATAACTCAAAAGCATTTGAAAAGTATGATTTATAAAGATTAAAAAATTTTAATCACAAAGTTAGAGATAATACATAATTGACTTATATTAATCATATTGAATTAATTAATTATATTGAATTAATTTTATTCCAAAAAATGTCATGACCTTTAGTTAAAATACATTTGAATAAAAAAAAAGTTTGCTCCTATTATTAAAGTATAGGTATTAAATTATGCAATAAGTATCCAGCGTAATCCAAATATATTATAATTTAGTTTAATAGAAAACACATTACAGTTTATTAAACAGGAAATTAATTGAATGTACAGATAAGTTTATGTAATTTTCCTGAAAATAAAAAATTATCGACTAAACTAATATAAGAAATGTATTTTTATCAGCTTATACTTTGCAGACACATAATTGAAATACTGAAAATATGTTAAATGTTATGTACAAATATGTAATGTTCATAACATGTAATATGCATATGTAAATATACTAATATATGTAACAAAAGATCACTTACAGAAATATGCTGCAGATATTTTTGGTGGAACATAAACATTTGAAAATTTTTGTTCTTCTTCTGAGTCTTCATTTTCAACCTAATAATTAAAAACATTAGTTGAAAATCTAATTACTCTTATGTTCATATTATTTTATTTTAAAAAATAATTTTAATAACTATCTCAGAGTTCCTATAGTATGATGTATACTCTAAGCAATGGGCATAAAAAACATAGCATGAAAAACAAAAATATATACAAGTACTTAATTTACTAACAGAGTTCATTCTAAATAATACACCAAAAACTATAATACACAATTACATAACATTTCTGATTCTCAAGTATTTGAGATTGCAATAAGGAAATATAATAAAAAAATATTTACTTGATCATCTAGGCTTTCAGGATTGGCTTTAAATCTTAGAGGATCCTTAGCATCTATAAAAAACATTAAAAAAAATTAAACATTAGAATTTAGCATTCATAAACATTAGAATTTACAAATTCTCAAGATTGAAAAGTATAATTTGGAGTGCATATTTTTAATAAAATTTTGTCAAAACTTAATTACATAATTATATTTTTATAATATATTTAAAAAAAAATTAATAAAATAAATTCTGAACATTTCCTTAATGTTAAGAACAATTGAATTTTTAAATTGATTTTTTGATTTTTATTTTCAAAATTTAAATAGCAACCAATGTTTTTGTTTTCCAGATTTTAAAATATTATTCTTTAGGGATAGAGAACATAAAGAAAAAATATATTTTCTAGTTTTACAATGACAAATCATAAAATAAAAATAACATTATGTGCTATTTTAATAAAAGTCCTTGTAAAAAAAGTAATTGGCATCTATGTAACTGAATATGAAGATATGATATACATCACAGTTAACACATTCGCTGCCACTAAAAATGATATTTCCATCCTCAGAGGCCGGATTACAAAACAGGGTTTAAATGTTCTTTATATTTTACTAGGAAAACCAGAAAAACGAAGAAACATATCATTTTCCTGTTTAGAGAGCGTTTTTTTTCCCCAGACACTCTGGAGCGCCAGTGGCACACAGACTCAACCTGTCTTTGTAAGTGCCACTGACGCTCCAGCGCGTCTGATCAATAATCTCAGAAATTACTGGCATATTGCATAAAATAACAGCTTAAAAGGAATAAAATGGAATACCATTCAAGTATATGTAGTACCATTTATGAAACAATACTGAAAATATTTACAAATAATAAGCACTGTCTCAGAATCTGACATTTCTCTGGTGTCCATTACAATATCACCCTCTCCATCCGAAGATTCCCAACTGTAGTCTTCGTCTGTGCTATCATAATCCGAAAGGTCACTATTTTGTAACAATTCTAATATTTCGGCATCAGTCAATATTTTATTTACTTATATATTTTATTCTTTCTTTTATATTTAAATTTAGTGATTTTGTTCTTTTATTACATTTTATTCTTTATTGGGCTGTGACGGTAATATTTTATTCTTTTCTTGGGCTGTGACAGTCCTGCCACACTTGTATCATCGGCCATTTTTAATCAAGCACATAAAAAAATTCAAGCAAAAATTTTGAAAACCAACCACAAAAAATAATGCTTCACTAACGCGCTGAAACAACCTCCCTGTTCAACTTCCAAAGCCACACTAAACACAGAGCATATAACTTATCATAGTTGATCGACGCACCAGAGTGTCGTTGGCATACCAGGAGGTGTCGCTCTGACGCGCCAGCAAACATGTTAAGCAAAAAAATATTTTTTTATACTCCCATAGCAATATCATCTTGAAATTTCATATAAACATACTTAAATTATCAAAGAGTTAAATGGAATAAAATATTAAAAATGTTAACTTTTAAGTTTTTCTTTATTAAGTTTAAATTTTTTTTTTAAATAACTTAATGATAAATATGATCTGAAATGCCATTTAATACTGAACAAAATGACATAAAATTAAGCTCTCTTGGTCAAATAGTTCTCAAGATACAGCTAAGTAAAAATTTCAGCTGAATTCATGCAAATTACAACAGAATAGAAAAATTTCCAACATTTTAAAAAATGCATAAGTCTGAATCAAATCGTGCAAAAAAATCTGAAACTTTGTATTTTTCAAATCAAAGTAGGCTTAACATACATGCCAAGAATAATTTAACTTAAAACTGTAGACAGATTTTATTTATTTATTGTTATTGATAGTTAATTTTATGATATATCCAGTAATGTATTTAATTTACTTATATGTCCTGTAGAAGCAACTGTAAGTAACTTGTCAACTTGGTACTTTAATTTTTCTTCAATAGGTCTCATTTTTTCTAAAACCTATAATTTCAAACAAAACAATAAGTTCAAAAATAATAATAATAAACAAATAACTATATCGGATCTTTAAAAATATGGTAAATTATTTTACAACAAATTAACAATGTGTAACCATTCAGTAATTTAAAAATTTCAAAGACCTTATATTTTGTCAAGCCAAAACAACAGCAATAAGATATGTATTGACCTTACAGACAAACATTTCACTACTTTTTTAGGTAGAGATTCTCCGATGTACAATAAGATTTTACAGCTTGCTGCATAGTCTCTCGTAATGCAGGAAATATCAGTGTGATATTATCGTAAATTTAGTTGTGTGGGTTATGAATAATATAACAACATATTGGCGTGAAATATATCATATTAATGGGGGCTGTTGAGAAGTCATAAGGAAATTCATCATTGAATCCTAATATGTGATAATAATAATTTTAAAATAAACTTTTAGGATAGACGTCATTATCAAAAAATAAATAAATAATAATAATACTGTAAGAAAAGGATACACAATAAGTAAAACAAAGAAAACAGAGATTGATTACTTAAGAATACTGTTAAGTTTGTGTTTTACAGACTAAATACATAATGTGATAATACTGTGACTGTTTTTATTATAGTGTTTTCCCTGAGATTTTTTTGAAGGGCTGCCTGCCCTTCTTCTTTTTGATCCCAATGAATATACCTTCTTTGTAAAAATAAGCTATCATCCCATAAAAACACAGTCTCTTTTATCTATATTTAATTTTGAAAAAAATTTATTTACTGTTTAAATAATAATTACACACAAAAATTATCAGTGTTTATAGTTTTAATTTTGATTACTATTGCAAATATTTACTTTATTAGGATTACTCTGTATTCTCACCTGGAAAAATTTTCATAACTTTCTCTTTTTTTAAGGAAGTGTATTAATAAATTTAAGTGATTTGAAATTTTAAAATTATTTTTTAAATAAATACCTTTTTTTTAAAGAAAAAATGCTGTTTGTTTTCTTATAATTTTCAATTTAAATTAGAGAAAAAAAACTTTCAAGTTGTTTATCAATTAATCCTTTTTTTAGTTTACTTTTTTTTTCAAAGAAAATTTATGCACAAAGATTATTGTTTTTTATAGCATACCTTTAATTATTTTCATAAATTTATATCTATTTTTCTCTGATTTTGATAATGAGACAGAGAAATACTTTTTGAAATATACACATAAAATACTATAAGAGGGTAACTTAAAAATTGTTCAGGATAAAATTCAGTTATTATATAATAATATTACACATTTTGATAAATTCCTACAGTGTTCAGTGAGTGCCTTTCCTAAACTCAGAGTGCTCTTATCTGAGAGGAAGCACCCACCCTTTTTATTCATTGGGAGAACTCTATCATATTATTCTTATCATCAATGCTGAGAAATTTTTTGTCATGATAGAAGATTTCTCAAAAAAAAAAAAANAAAAAAAAAAAATTAAAAAAAAAAAAAAAAAAAAAAAACAATGATTGACAATCTAAAGTGAGACAGAGCAACTAAATGCAATACAACTGCAAAATTAACAAAAAGATAACCATTATTAATATAAAAACATGTATAATGAAATATGATGTTGCACATTTATTATGCCAAAAATGAGATGAGAGAAAAAGATTCTATGCTATAAGGAATTTCTAAAACAATAAGCTTTAAAATACATGACATCATTAGTGGATGGATAATTATAACGTAAACAATATGATAATATAATGCAGAACTACATAACATAATGTAAAAAAAAAAAATACATACTACATAATATAAAAAAAGAAAATTTTTTTTCTTAGGTTTTTAGCTATGCTATAAGTTTAAAAATATTCACTAAATTTAAATAGGAGTAATTTTTAATTAATAACAAAATGACTATTTTAAAATTTTTAAAAATCAGGAAACGAGCATTTAAAGTAGCACTTTTATTCTGAGTATACACATAAACAATTTTAAAAAACAAATTTCTCATAATTTTGTAGAGAATAACATTTACTAGTAGCTAATGAAAAAAGCTCAATTTAAATATTTTGAAAATTTAAAAGTTCCAAGCAAAGACAATTAAACACCTTTTACTAACAACCAATGAAAAAAGTACTTTTAGGGCTATTAAAAAACCAAAATAAAAAATAAGCACTTTTTAATAAAGCTTTAAGTAAAGTCGGGCTTCATTTAATGTTATAATTTGTATAATATTATACAGTACAGAACCCGTTATCCGGAAATCAGAAAACCGGAAAACCAAAAAACCGGAACGAAATTCGATAAATTTTCCTGCCATTTTTTAAACAAAAATTTTTTTTCCTCATAAGATTTTAGGATTTTTCTTTCTTTTTTGAAAGATGTTCACCTTACCATCATTTTGGAAATAATCATTAGTGTATTACTTCATTGTTTTTTCTTCTTTTTAAGATTATTTCCCAAAAAAAAATTTTTTTAGTTCGGTTTAACAATAAAAAAACGGCTTTTTGTAGCGATTCAGAAAAATGGAAAAATCAGTTATCCAGAATAGTGATGGTCCCGATTGTTCCGGATAATCGGTTCCCTACTGTAATAAGTATTTCATATAATATTCCAATCATAGTTTTATCAAACAGCTTTGAATATGCAAAAATTTGAATTCCAGAGTGTTAACAAATTTTTTTTTTTAAACTCATTATTAAAAATTTTTTTTTAAAAAAATCAGCGTAACACAACAAAATAATCTTTAAATTAAAAAAAAAGTTAAAAAATGAAAAGGAAACTTACAATTCTGGACTCACACAGCCTTGCTACGGCAGGATCATTTTCAATAGATTTTCCAGATGTCTTTTGTAAAATGACATAAGTAAGATCAGTTATATAATTTAAAAGAGTGTGATTCTTTAAATCATAAAAGCTCAATCCCTGAAAAAATTTACAATTGTTAAAGAATGTATAATTTATTTTTAAATTTCTAAATTATAAATATGATACAAAAATTGGTAGTTTCATAAAATCTAACAGTATAAAAATAAACAACTGAGGTACAGTTGTAACAAGGTGCATTTTCAAAGAGATTTTGATCTAAAAAATACTTCCAATTCACTTCCTTTAAAAGAACACTATTTCTATAGACTTATTTTAGATTGACTTTATCAAGAATATTTCTATTTCTTCACATGAATAATGGATCATATTTTTTTTTTTTTTAAATTCTAAATTAAATTCATATTATTTAATAAAATGAGTATGAAAACTTTTAAATAAGATCTTCTTAGATTGCTTCTTTTTTTTAAAAAATGATTTTTGAAAAATTTACAAAAAAATTGCTTTAAATTCACAAAAATATTAACTATATAAATATTCAATTTTCATTAAACTGTTTCATTCATTATTTAAAATGCAATTTAAGACTTCATTTGAATGCGAAAATTTCGATTAATTGAAACTTAGAAAAGACAAATCTTAATCCAACAATAAAGAAATAACCTAACATAACAAACATAAAATAACTGATTTTTTAACATGAAGGAAAGATTTAATAAAATTTAAATTAAAAATGATCATACAAAAACTTCACATTGTTCTTAAATGGGCAATTAAACTTACATGATACTAAAATAGCCCAGTATTTATATAGTCTTTACATAAAAGTTAAATAACTTTTCAAAAATATTGTTTTCCAATATTTCCTTAAAATGGACACAAATCCATCATAATTTATAGTTTAATCTATCAATATCCGTTTAAATTGTACTTTCAACTAAGCATTTTTAAAATAGATTAATTTTAAATAATTGAAGATAAAATAAATTTTGTCAGGTTTTACAAACATCAATTCTTTTTGATTATGAAACTAAAAAATAGTTTCACATGCAATCATAAAAGATTCAAAAAATCAGTTTCAAATTTTAAAAATATCTGCTTAAAATCTATAATATTTTGATGTAACAAATTACAATCTCTTGTACTATTTGACAGTAAAACCTTATAATTTTCCTACACTCTTTTGTTCTCTAATTTAATATTATATCCATAGTTTTATAACTTAATTGCATTTTTGTTAAATAGAGTCCCATAAAATTCAAAAAACAGGATATCAATTCTTACATACATATGATAGTTTGAGAATGTTTCTTTTTATTATTTCACAAATATATTTAAATAATCTAGCATGGTTACATTTTTAATAATGTCAATAAAAAAGAAAGTTACATTTTTTGTCTGAAGCTCATTGCCTTTCAGTCGCTTCAAAAGATTTTGTGTAGTATCTGTTACAGAAGCAGCCAATGCAGGAATGTCTTTTAGAAGTTTCAAAGTTTCATTTACATCTTCTTGAGACAGTTCCTCCATCTAGGAAAAAGATTAAAAGCTAATAATTCGAATATTATAGACTAAATATTAGGAATTTTATTAATTTTCTAAATAAATGTAGATGTAAATAGCAAATTTATTTTCATTTTATATTTATGATCAACAAAGTCAATCCTAATTTTTCTACGCTAAAAAAGATAATTATGAAAAATAAGATACCATTTGAGATAAGAAAGATAGAGAAAAACAAGCAACAGATGTAAATAACAAATTTTAAAACAATTTGAAATTTAAATACATTGTTTGTTTTCTGCTATTATTGTAAACTGCACTAATGTCACATTTTAATCAATAAGAGAAATTGCAACATAGATGTGCTTTTAATGATAATTCTTTTTAGATCTTTTCAGAGCAACTTTAAAATCATTTTGGAAATTTTTTTTCTGTTTTGTCCAATCTGAATTTCAATTTTATCATTGCACGAAATTTAAATCCTAACCACAATGAACCCTTATTTTTTTAACCTTATTTTTTATCTACTTATTTTTTTTTTTTTTTTTTAAAAAAGAAACAAATATGTATTACAAAAGTGGGCAAGATTGTCATATACCTTAGGTTTACATAAATGCTCAGATGTTTTTATATTTACAACATATTTGTATTTCACTGATATTGTATTATTAACTGAACTCGCCAAGAGCAACAGCCTGGTTCTTGAAGTAGCAATAACCTCTTTTAAAAATATATAATGCTCCATTCTATATTATATACATATATTAGTTTCTAACAAGCCATTACTGAGTTGTCGCCAAACTTGTAGTCTATATACTAGTAGGAGTACTGATACAGAAAACTTTTAAAACAATGTATTGTTATTTCAATAAAATCTTTTTAATAGAGCATAATATAAGTTTCGAAATTAATTTATAATGTGGCCTGCAGATTAAGATTATATAGCACATTGAATCATAAGAGTCACACAAAACATCAACAGGTTAATGTACACTCAAAATTAAAAATTTATATTTTCACTTTGATTCTTTTTTTAAACTTGGAAATCACAAATAAATTGTAATATTAGCTGTTATACTGCTTCGTTTATACTATGTGCTTGAAATCTACAAATAAACAACAATTTAAAAAAAAAAATTTGCAGTTCAATTGATAATACCTAATAGATACCAATTACAGAAATATGGCTGGATATAAATATTGTTATCAAACTAGCATGTTAAAAGAAGTTTTATTTTATTGCAACAATTATTGAAAAAACAATCTGCTAAAAAAATGATTTTGCACTTCCACAAACAAATTTTAAAATTTATAATTTTAAGGACTTCTGAATTTTAAATGGGGGTCAAAATAGGTATTTCCGAGGTTAAAATTAGCAATAGTTCGGGAACACTGACATCTAACTTGGATCACCTTAAAATAATAATCAGTAGGCTCTCCTACCAATAACTAAATAAATATATACTGATTGTTATACTGAAATGTTAAACTGATTTGGTTTTTTCTTTTTTCATGTTTTAGACTGTTTTTCTGTCACAAAAACTTTAATCTGTAATTTTCATCATCATTTTGATTAAATGTATTGTCTGCATTTTTCTATCTAATTTCACTGTAATGACTTTTTTTTAAATACATATTTAATATAATGCTCAAATTTCGATAAGTATGTAATTTTAAAATTGTTTATTAACATGATAAAATTTCATCAAATAAAGCTTTCATAAAATATTGGACAAATATTTCTTAAATATTACAAATATTTCTTTCTTCCTGCCTTTTTTAAAAATTAGTTTCCAATTATTTGAAGATTGTACTTGAAAAAGGATCCTGTTTTATAAATTTGTAAGATTTCTTTCTCTCTTATTTTAATAGGAATGCAAGTAAACCAGTGCAAATAGAGGAATGCCAAGAAACCAGTGAATATATGTATGAGCAAGTAAAATCTTTCAATTGCTAAACATTATGAACAGTCACTAAATTTTCTTAACTTCTACAACTGAAAATCGAAAATGTAAACTGCTATAACCTCCAGGATAATTGACAGCGTTAAAACAACATCCATTCGTATTGATTGAGTACAACATACTTTATGAAACGGCAATGCATAAGTAGAGAAAATAACAGTACGAAAAAACAATTGAAGTCGTAAAATTTTTTTGCTCATATTATTAAATTTAACTTTCAAGTTTTTGTCAACTAACCTGTAAAATCGAAAGAGCTCTAATATCTATAGTAGAATTAAAGTAGCTATAAGAAAGATCCAATCGTATTATTTTATCACACAATATCTAAAATTAAAAATTTATAATTAATTTCTCCGAATATGAAACGTGTGGAAGTGGAAACGTGATATCTGAGAAAAACAATAACATGTGAAAATAAAAGTTGTGATCAATATTTTTTAAAGGGCCAGAAATACGCAACTTACTCTATGGTTTAACGTTTTAGTTTTTAAACTCAATCTGTTTTGTATAAGAATATCTATATACTTTTGATCTGAGAATCGCTAATCAGTTGATATAATTTAAACAGTTGAATTTTACAATTGATACTGACTGTATTATAAAATTGTGCACTTCACTAAGAATTACTTTTACCTTACTTGCAATAAAAGTTTCAATTATTCAAATTTTTTGAATGATTCAGAGAGTTAAAGATTACAAGCAAAACTCCCAAAATACTTTTAGATTTCATCTTTGTTGATTCATCGAATTTTGTCAACATCGTTCAGGAAATTGAAAATTATGGCTAGTCAAGTAACAAATAGACTTGCTGTGAAGCGTCATAAATGGTGTTTTTCTTTTGCAACTCGGTAAAATAATTCTTGATCTAATTGATATGGTGCTTCATTATTATCAATATTGTGTGCATGCTGTTTAGAAGCGAAGCGCTTACCTAATCTGTTTAATAGATTAGGTAGGCGCTAATTTTCTAATCCTAATCTGCTTGTTATTGAATTCTTTTATTGTTAATGAACAAATTATTCTTTCCCAATGTAATTCAACTGAACAATTATATGAATATTTATTTTGCAGCTGTGTAGTTACTATAAACAATAGACATAGATCTAATAATTCATATGCCAGCCAATTATGAAAGCCGAACCACGTATTAAAATTCTGGCTCGAGGTTATCGCAAACGTTTGTCAGCATGGTGGATCAAAATATGTTTAAATGAGAACAAAATTGATAATAATAATATATTTCTTCATGGTTGAAAAAAAATTATTTAATTCTTGATAATTTAAGAATTATTTATCTTAAAGTCAGGGTTCATCCTAGGTGGGGTTTTCAGGGCAAACCAGCCACCCCGTTTGTCCTTTGAATTATAAATTACATCCTACATAGGCTTTAAAACTGATTATGTGCCCCATATATTAAAGTTAAAATAAGGTCCATATGCATATTTTTTTTTTTTTTTTGTAAATCCACGAGGCTTTCAAATTTTTTTTTTCGAGAGTAGTAAATCGTTTTTCGGTTGTAATTAATCAATTATTGACCATTTCCCTATGATTTTTCAAATTCCGATATATATAATACATTATTGCGACATGTGCACATTAACTTAAGCTAATACTTCTTTTAAACGTTTCATTCACGATGATTCCATTCTAATTTCACATTTGATATTTTTTTCAGGAACTAAGTATTGCTTTTTTGCCCCTTTTCTCATGGTTTTACAAATTTCAATATTTTTAATACGATATAGTTATGAGATGCTAGTTCAAAATTTGCATCATTGCTTTTTGATGTGATCGCGAATCATGACGATTCTATTGCAATTTCATGGTGTTTGATGATGGATTTTCCCGCAGGTCATTTATAATTTTTTTCAGCCCTTTTACATGGTTTTTAAATTCTGATATATTTAATATGTTGTTATTACGATATTCGAATCTTAATCATCACATTTAGATGCATTTAATTGGTGACGATTCTATCGTAATTTCTTTGTTTTATGATATATTTTTCGACGTCATTTATCATTTTATCGATCTCTTTTATCCGGAGTTACAAATTCTAATCTTTTTAATGCAGGGCTATTACGATGTTCGATTTGTAACAATTCTATTGTAATTTCACGTAGTCAGATAATATGTGGTTCTGAAAGTTCACATCGATTTTGTAATACTAGATAATGTATATCGCACAAACTTTCAAGATAATCCTATTGCTCTTTTCGGTAGTTATTTTAATTTTTTTTTTTGGGTCCTTTGCACATGGTTTTTATATTTTCTGATATTTTTGTAAATGTAATACGATGGTAAAATTTGAGTTGTCACTTTTTATGGTGTTCAATTTGTAACGATTCCATCATAATCGACATCGTTCATTGACAGTTTTCTCGACTGTTATTTATCATATTTTCTTTCCTTTACACATGGTTTTTTCAAACTCCAATATTTTAATATGTTATTATGACGCATGACTTTCGATTTGAATTATCACTTAGTGACGCATTTGATTTGTAATGAGTCTGCCGTTTTCCGATAGGTTTTCAGAAATTTCCACATATTTTTTCTTATTCTGATCAATTTTACATGATGTTATTACGACAAGGGAGTTTTTGGATTTAACTTAGTAACTTTTTGACTTGCTCAATTTAGATCGTTTTGTAATTTATGGGTCTTTTTTTTTTTTTGCAGCTGTGTGCTGTTTTTTAACTATTTCCTCATGTTTTTTTTTTTTTTTAATTTTTTTTATTCAGATGTAATTAATGAAATGTTATGGCTAACAAATTTCCTATTTTTGTAATCACTTTTCCACACATTAATTTTCAATAATTTTTTTTGCAGTTATTACAATTTTTCATGTTTTTTAGATTCTAGTTTAAGACAGCTCTTTTAAATTAAACTAAGTGGCAATAAACATAATTTGACTTTTATTGTTAACATGTTTTTTTTTTTTTTTTCTATTCAATTTTTAATTAAACCTTTTTTTAATAATTTATTCTATATTCTTGGTAATATAGGATAGTTATTTATCTAATTAAAGTCAGTGTCAAATTTAATTTTTGCTTTTAATTTAATTTTTATTAATAAAAATTTTTCTATTTTAATTAGATTTTTAATTAAACTTTTTTCTTCTTATTTGTTCTTGGTAATCTAGAATAGCGATTCCCAATTTTTTCGACTATGGAACCCTAAATAATCAATTGCTTTTGGCCGAACCCTGACTTAATAAATAAAGTTTATAAAGCAATTGTGAGCAACCTATAAAAGATTACAATTCTTTTAAAATATTAATTATAGATTTTTCATAGCTTTATAATTAATAATTTTATATAAAGTTTTATGTCTAACAATTAATTTGCAGCCCTTGTGCTGTATTTAGCCTGGCTATGAATTTGTTTTTAGTGCATATATAAAAGCTGAAAACAAATAAAATAGTCCAACTTATGGTTCGTTTCAAAATGAGACTAAAAAAACTGCTATAAATGTTGAAAATGGTTATTCAGGAAGCATATTTCTTTTTAAAGAGTTAAGTTATTTTATTTTGATTTGAAAACCGCTATAGGGAATACTTATGCAATATTTTATAAATGCTCTTAATTTGTTCTATACATTAGAAATGTCATCTTTTTTTTTTTTAAAAATTGCAATTTCTATCTTATTGGCATTATACATGAAATAATTTCATAAAGGCAACTGAGAAAGTAAATAAATTATGAATTACAGGTTGCATCAAAATATAATGAGAAGTTTAAAAAATTATTCTTTACACAAAATGTTACTCGCTTTTGAAACTTCTTCATCGAACCCTAAGGCTCGGTGAAACATCATTTAGGAACTGCTGATCTAGAGCATGATATTTTAAACTATTAATTGTTTTTTATACTCATTGCAGAAAATCAGAAAGGCAAGCTGAATTACCTGCACCTCCTGGGTATAGTGCTTCATTAGGTCAAGTTCATGCTGAAGCTAGTAAAGAAACAGATGCAAGCTTAATAGTTAAAGTAATGAAATATTTTGAATCAGCTATTTTTTTTTTTTTTTTGGCATTTGATCAGTATTCGATGACATGGTATATTGATTAGCGACAATCTTAAATTATTTGTATCAAATTTGGAAAAGGTTATATTGTGCATTAAATAAATATCAGTTATAGTGCATTAAACAATAATTTAATGTGTTTCTTAAGTGTAACTTTAGAATAATTTTATCCATAGATTATTCCTCCTTTAACTCTATCATTTTATTTATTTTTCTATATTTATTTTTTGAACGATTCTTTTTTAATATATTTTCTTACATTTTTAACTAGTTGATGTATATTTGATTTGATTATCATTGTTAACAATTTTTGATTTAGACTTTTAATCTATGCATTTAAATAATTTAGAAGTATGCAATTTATCACTTTCAAAAATTTACGTATCATTCCTAGAAGGTAGTTTTAAATTAAACAAAGAATCTAAATTTATACCTTATCATGTCAATCAGATTCCTTATTTCCAGGAGCATATTTCACATAAAATTTTATTATTATATTTATTTATTGTAAAGTCACATTTAATAGAATATCTTTGTTATATTTTGATTTTTTATTGTCATTTCACAGACATGATATGAAGAAAAATTTTCATGCTATTTCTCTTTATGCTGTTTATAAGTTTAATTTAATAGTTTTATTCATTGTTTCATGTTCTTACTCTTAAAAAATTTATCTAATGCAGAAAGCCTTTAACTATCTAATTATGCTTTTTTTTTTAACATTTTAAAGGGTGTCCAATTATTGAAGTTCGATTGAATTTTTGAATTCCGATATATTTAGTATGGCACTAATTCCAAAATAAATTATTAAAATTTTTTTAAGTAGTTTCCAAACTATATTTCTTTTAGAAGTGATTTGATATTGTGATTTTTTTTATTAATATTATTATTAATTTATTTTATAAACATTGATAATAAATATTTTGATTAGAAAATTAGCTATTGCAAAAGCTATTTAACATACAATTTTATGTGATTTTTTTAAAATTATATTTCACATAAAATGATATAATACGCCTCTTGATAGATATTCATCGAATGTGCATTATTTTTAAACGCTATAAATTAATATATGGTTCATATTTCTTTTTAAGAAATCATGGGATATTGCACTTGCTCCACTAAAACAAGTGCCAATGAATATATTCATCATGTATATGGCTGGAAATTCCATATCAATTTTTCCAATAATGATGATTGGAATGCTGTTTATTCGTTTAGTTAAGGCTCTCCTTACTATTCAGTCAAGTAAGATATATATTTTTTTGTATTCATAATTTAAAAGGTTTCAAGTAGTTTCGTTGTCTGTATATTACTTATCATTACTTAGGATTTAAGTTGTTTTTTCAGGTTGTTATACAATAAACTAAAATTTTTTTACATTTGATATTTTGTATTTATTT